AGCAGGAACAACAGCAACATAAAAAAACACCCTTTCCTCCTAAGTGTGGCAAGCTACGATTACCCCTAAGTAACAGTGCTGATTTTGTATGCTTGCAGTGGCTGGTGGGAAATGTAGTTCAGAGAGATGATGCTCTGTATGCCAGAATGAAACAGAGGGAAATTGACGCATATGACTCGATGTGGGATCCCATCTTTGTGGACGATGCCGCATTAGGACTAGGCGAGCAAAGAAATAAGGTACTGGAGGTTTTGAAAGTCAAAACTAACAATGTCATCAATCTGAATCAGGCCAGAGGAAAATGCTGTAGTTTTTGTGCATTTCTTTGATTTCTATAGATTTTTAAGGCAACTTTGATCATCACTCCCACCATTGTGTTTTTCCCTCTCTTGGTTTGCTCTTCATGCATTTTCCTGACAAACATGGCTTAGCTATTTGATTTCTGCAGGCATTAATTTAATATTAGCTATGTCCGTACCTCCAAATTAATGGGAAATGGCAAATATGGCAAAAGGAATAAAAAACATCAGTAGCTTCTCTGAAGTTAACATCATTCAGATACAAACACAGTACAATGGCAAAGTCAGTTGAAGAAACTCTTAAGACCAAGTGAAGCAACTGAAAAAACTGGGTCGTCAGATAAGAGAAGGAGATCATTTGCAGTTTGATGAACAGTGAAGTGACTTTGCTTCAAATGAAACACAACATTTACTGCGGGACAGGATTGGATTATAGGGACGGTTTCCTCAGAAGTCAGGCTATGGATGAAGAAATGTTGATCCGAATCCACTTCCCACAACGTCTTTTCTGACCTGCCCCAAACCTTTTTAGCCTTTCCTCCATCTTTGCAAAGTCCTTACAATTTCTCTCAACCTTCTCCTGTCACATTTTTTTCTTTGCTTTCTCTCTTTTTTTAAAATTCAGTTTGTCTTGTGAATCGAAAGAATTTTAACCAAAATCTGGTTGAAATTCTGATATGACAATGAAGATTTCTCCATGAGAGTTATTTTTTGGAGTGTGTTGTGCTCTTGCAGTAATGTTAGCTCATAGTGTTGTGGTTGTATTGTCTATCAGATATTGACTGACAGATGTTCAATGAGCTATTTAATGTTTTACAAAGTGTTTAAAAAGTTCTTCACTGTAAGTAAAATAGTTTTTGACTCATTTGCATTACCCATTCTAGCACCTCATCAGTGTTTTTTTACACAGTGAATAACTTCAGTGCAGCTGTACTAGTTTTAAATAATAATTTTACTAGGCTTAATTTGAATGAAATACACTCTGAGGTTTTCTTTTGACAGTAACTTCTCGTGGCTTCACCTGTTTTTACGCCCTCACGCAGATGACCCCCGATGACAACATCCTTTTCAGCACCCTAGAGATGAAGAATGAGATGGGCGGTGCCGGGGATCTGTCCCGGGGCCTGGGAGCACCTGGAGACCCCCGCAACACCATGCTGGCCTACGTAGCTCAACACTGCAGTCCCGCGGGGCAGCCATGGCCCGCCAAAACTATGGCCACAGCGCCTTGGAGCGCCACGCCCAGAAGAAGTCACGCCTACGAAGACGGGCCTCCCAGCTCAAGGTGAACATCCCAGACCTGTCCGACGTGAACTCTATTGATAAGTGGTCCAGGATGATCTTCCCCACCGTCTTCTCCTTCTTCAACGTGGTCTACTGGCTCTACTATGTCCATTAAACCCGGCGTGGTGGAGGCCAGCTAGTGATGGGCATGCAACGAACAGTGGCTGGGGTGG